TCAATCATGGAATTTTAAAAAATAATCAACTGGGTTAACTCTTCACAAATCAAATGTGTTTGTGAGTGTGTTTGGAGCCTTTCACTGATCGGGAGCCTCTCACAACCCAAAGGTCAAAGACACTTGAATCACGATCTGTTGCGTTGGTAATTTTTAAGCATCTCTAGCTATGTAGAGAATGATACTCCAAATCTTGAGGTCAGTTACGAATTCGACACATCATTTGGGCTTACTTCTCATTTTTTATTACATTTTTAAGAGGTGCCTTTTGTCGTTTGCGACAGTTCTGCTTTACCCTAGTTTTTTTCCAAAAAATTTTTTGTTCACGGGACTCATAGCCTGGATTCATTCATCTAGTGGGCTTTTTTGTTGCTACAGACATATTTTGAGCATGTTGGCTTTTTAAATATCCGGCGTAATCTAATTTTTTAATGGTAAAATTTCAACTCTTTATGTTAATTGTTTTATTGGGGTTTCGGCGTAGCTGCTATCAAACAAGTGGCCTCTTATTGCAATTTCTGAGAACGGAAAAAAGTTTTTCAATGCACCTGTCTGTTCTGAGGGTAAAAAATACTTAATTTTTTATTGATTTGTTCCGGTTTGAAGGGTTTTTCCTCAGGTATTTCTGGCTTCGATAACGTATGGTAATTATAAATCCAAATTCAATCAATGATCCAGTGCATCTGGCTAAGAGGTGACCCAACTGATTGAGTCGACAAAAGCCAGTTGATTCAAGTCGAGACCTGTTTTTTTGCAACTGTCGAGAAGGCCTGCCAACTAGTTCATTTTATATGAACTAGTTCATTTTATATGAACTAGTTCATATGGTTCATATTTGAGCCAGAATTCATATTTCAAGTTTTTAATTGTTTTTAATGAGTTATACATAATGCTTCTAATTTATATAGGTTATTTTATACCTTCATTTTTTTTCGAAAGTTGATTTTTTCAGAGAATGGGAAAACGTACTGTGTCATCAGCTCTACTCGAGAGGTTTTCTTGGGCCAAAGCAGAGAACCAGGACCAAGTCCGATGCAAATTGGATACTTGCATTTTTCGGATTTCACATCGGCGATTCGATCTAAAGCAACATGAAGAGACTCAGCTCCACAAGAAAGCGGTAACTGCGCGCGCTGCAACTCCCGACATTAGGACAGCAACATCCTCTCAGACTGATTGCCAGCGATTAAGAGCACTTATTATTCATGTTCTTGATATTGTAGTGAGCGGCCAGGCCAGTCTTTCGCTTCCAGTGATTCGGCATCTAGTGCTCGCGGGAAGTACAAACAAATGTTTCCAGATTCGAGCCACGCTAATATTAAGTTTGGAAAGACGAAAGCAACATATGTGGCAGTTCACGAAAAGCCCCATACGCTCGTACTATTTTGAAAAATGATACGTTCAAAATTGTTGAAAAGTTGGTAATTATGTCTGAAGAGCAGCATCTGAAAAATAATCTGAAGTTCAAAAACTTTGGTCCATTTGGATCAGACAGTTCTTCATGTTAAACCTATTCATAATCTGACAAAAGCTTTGCAAGGCCCTAGTTTGACTGTGCATGATCAACTGTCCTTGATTTTGACAGTGGCCAGTCAATTACTACAACGTATCGGGTTGTCTTTGGATATAAACCCTAAGAAGTATGCTACCGATCTTAAGAAAAACAGTAGGGGAGTTGTTGTGCCCATGGTATTCTCGCCTGTGAACAAAAAACTTTTCTGTTCAAATGGTCTTATAGTTCAGTCGGCTCTGTATTCGCTTGAAAAGCATGTAGAATAGTCAATGATTGAATCATGGAACAAACAAATTGCTTTGCAGTTACAAGTTTTGCTCAAAAGGTTTCAACGTTTCCTTGTCAGCCCTCTGACTAAGAATTGTCATATTGTTTTCATGCAGCTTTCGGAGATTGAATCTCCTACCAAAATTGACCGATTGGCTAATTTTTTCGGCCTAGTGAGTGTGGATGTCCTAGATGAGTTTGCTGCTGCTAAGCTGTGTATGAATGGAAACTTATCTTTGCGAGAGTGCTTCGAGAAATCACTGTTGCAACAGTTGTAGTCTTTGGGATCTTTATGTGAGTTGCTAGTTTGCCCACATAACATGAACACAGAATCAGAGTTCTCGCGCATGAAGTACGCTGAGAGAACACCAGAACTGTTTTTTGCCAGAAACATATGACAGTGTGCGTATCATTCAGGAAGTCTTTAGCCGCGACGATTTCGAAAAGGCGCTCAATTTTCCAGCTGAGTTATGTGACACAGTTCGACAAGCAGCTACTGAATATAAGAAATCAACGGAGTCGAAAGTAGAAAAATCACGGAAAAGAGGGAATGCTGAAGATTTGCGAGATGAACTGCATGTTTTCAAGCGAATGACTCATTTAGCTCTCAAGAACCAGCTGAACGAAGTTGATTCTAGCATTGACGAGGCTAAAGAAGCTTTTGAAAAGAAGAAGGAACTGCTCCATAACCAACGAACTGTTTCTGTGGTCACTTTGGATCAACAGTCTGCAGTTGCCATTGACTCAGTATTTGTCAAGAAATAAATGATTTAATTGACCATGTTTTTCTGAAAGTTAGAAAATGTTCTTTTAGGTTCATATAAAATTCGTCTTTCAAGGTTTGGTCCCAAGTTCATATTTCGTTTTATAAAAGTTGGCAGGCCTGGTGTCGAGACAATTGAAGTTTTTTGGCTTCTTTCTAGCACTCCGACAGGTCTTTGTGAAGTTTTTATTGATGCAGGTAATTTTTTCCCAGTTTTTTTGGCCTTTGTTGCAATTGAATTGAAGCGTTCGAAATTTTTTGTTTACTAATATCAAGTTCTCTTAGTCTATATGAGCAATTTTTAGACACAGAGGTGAAGCTGCATTTTCTCAATTGCAAATGAGAATGCGGTAACAGATTCAGGAGCTTTAAATGTACAAGAACACAAATTTGGTTTTTAATAATTTGGAATGGTATAAAGTAATCACTTTACCCTAGCATGTAATGAATGAATTGGAAAGTATAAAGCTAATTTATGTACAAAGTTTCGCAAATTATAATGTGAAATTTTTTAAAGGATTTTTTTTGGTACTGTTGTATGGAACAATACGCTTTTTTGGCGTCAATCATGGAATTTTAAAAAATCAACAGTGTTAACTCAATACAAAGCAAATGTCACACCAGATGGTAATATATTGTCAATACAGCCTTCTGATTCAAAAGTGCCACTAAAAGTAGCTCATGATTCAAAAGTGCAGCCAAAAGTATGTAGGAAAAAAGTTGCATCGTATTAGCACTCTAAGCTGCATTTGTGAAACAGCAAACGTTACACGATCGCTTTACTCCCTCGAAATTCGATTAAAATTTCAAACAAGTTTTTTTCGACAGGAAAAACTTTTAATTTTTTTTCTCCTGTTCGATTTACGACTAAAAAGGCTCGTGGAATGTTTCTTTGAGCATAGAAGCTTTTTTGCGATTAAAAAGACAATTTAGTTTTCTTTCTAAAATTTCGGCTTCCAACTTTTTGCTGTTTTTTTTATTTAGTTTCTCTTGTGTTTTTTGAGGAAATGGTATGATAGGCATCTTTTTCATTGACTCAATGTATGGAGTTGTATGATAAGCTTTTTTTACTTGGGAAGTGAACGCGGGTTATAAATGGGAGGGGGGCTTTGCCTTATCGATCTGGAGATGCCTGTAATCTGGCGGATTTTCTTAATCTGACCTCAGCGTTATTTGCATATTTTTCCTTATTCCAAATGGCGATATTTTATCAGTTTTTCACGTTGACAAGCGGCTCATGTTGAAGTTCTACGTCTTCACTGTGAACTTGAAATCGGATTAGGTCGGGTTGTCAGCGAATGAATTCGAGTTGAAGTGGGGAGCAGGGGAGAGAATAGGCGTTTTCAAGAGTAGAAATTCAGAACCACAAAAAAAGCTGCTCTTTGTTGCATTAAAAATGTTGAATCGATTTTTTTTGAGTGTATCTGAATCAAATTGCACTCATCAAAGCCAATCTTGCAAATAGCACTAAATATAATTGACTACTAGTTTCAAAAACGGAGTTTAAATTTGAGATTTTCCAACGGAATTTTAAAAATATGTTTTTTTTCGGTTTTAGTGAATTCATTGACCTTTTGGAATTGATTGTTGCCTATATTTTCAATGCAAATTAACAGAAATAGTAATTTTTAAATCGAAATCAAACTGAAGCTACCATCCAGAGTTGCATTAATATCACTCCTTCCTAGTAAATGACGTTATTAACGTTAGAAACGTTATTATCTGCTAATAGCGTTAAAAAGATGAAATTTTCGAGCTGTTTACCACACAATGAATTATATTCAATCAGATTTTAGTTCATGAAGACAAAAAGCCAGTTTTCCAAGTTTTTCCGAGTCAAGCCGGTTTTTCAGATTCGAGAGGACGAATGCGATAGTAGAAAACGCTCTCTCCAATACTGCTTAGCTGAAATGTGTCATTTTGTAATAGTAGTAATCAACAGGTCTTGTTAAATAACGTCACATAACAGTGGTTTTAAAAGTGTAAATAACAGGAGAGTTTATATTAACACAACCCTGCTACCATCTGACGTAATTGGTGTTTGTTTAAATAAGTTAAAAAGAACGAAAGGATGTCACTTATACAGGTCGTGATGATTTCAATTTTCGGAAATTCTCGCTCATTTCTTTAAGTTCTGTTCATTTCCGTTGTTAAAAGTAAGGCAAACTCCATTTTCGAACAGCTAAAGAGTAAAGGCACGAACAACTTGAATGACCTCCCTCTAGTTTCAAAAATGGTGTTTACTTAGTGAATTCCCAGCGGAATTAATAATTGACCTTTTGATTTAGTTTTTTCTAAATGGCATAACTTAAAGTAAAAAAGTGGCAATCTTAAACAATGCTACAAATTCAAAGAGCTCTATATTTTCTTCAAAATTTGAATGTTGAAAAATTTATGATAAAAAGTTTTCCGGTTTCATTTCTTCACTTTTCTGACCATCTTTTGGCTATGTTTAAGGAAACTTCAGCGACCTAATAGTGACCTTCAAGTTCAAACGCACACTTCTATACTTCGTGCTGCAGAGCTACGTACCTGCAACTCTCATTGTCAATCTGTCGTGGGTCAGCTTTTGGGTGGACCCGAGATCGATCCCCGCCAGGGCCTCCCTCGCCATCACCACTGTGCTAACGATGATAACGTTGATGGGAACTGTGAATAGTCAGTTGCCGAAAGTGTCCAATATTAAAGCTCTAGACGTTTACTTTGGCATGTGTTTCTTCTATGTGTTTGGAGCTCTTATTGAGTTTTCGGCGGTGTGTTACCTGGATAAGGGTAAACAGAAGGCGCACGCAAAAAGAAAAGAAGCAGAGAAAGCAGCTAAAGACAGTCAAGTAAATCGCTTGAAAGATATCAGAGCTTCAAGACCCTGTTTTTTAAAAATAAAAATCTCGAATCAAAAGAAATGCAAATGTTTGAACGCTGATTTGAGATTGTTGGGATCTTTTAAATGCGTTGGGTGTTTTTTCGTAATTTTGTGTCTTAGTTAGTTAATTTCAGCTTTGCGTCGAAATTTGTTTACGATAAAATGGTTTTTGTTTGATTAAGTTTTTAAGTGTATTTTATTCTCTTGCGATAAGCAAGGGTGTTGCAACCGGGTACTAGACTTTTCCCCGTAAACGATTGAGAATTTGATCAATAAGTAAAGTTTTCATTTCGCTGGAAATCTCAAAAAAATATCTATTTTTGAAATCAGAAGTCAATCATGTTTTTCGTGATCTTTAAAGTTTTGCTGTTGTTTGCCTTCCTTTTAACAAAGGAAATGAACTGAAGTTTAAAAGAAATCAGAAGTCAAACCGTAAAAAAAAGTAAATTTGTGCCTGAACAAATTTTATGACTTTTCTGAAAAAAAATACGAAAAAAATCATCGCGGTCTATATAAGAGTCTGAACTACGTTCATCGAACCTTACAAACGGTCCCGGTTGGCTCAGAACCACAGAACTTTGAAGTATAAAGCTGATAACACAATTTAGTGAAGACTCTTAAATAGGTCCTGATGATTTTTTTTGTTTTTTTTTTCAGGAAAATATAAAATTTGTTCAGGCCAAATTTTTTTGTTTCGCGCTAAAACTTTTGATTTATTAAAAGTCGATTAACCTAGCTTAGACTCTTATATAGGTCGCAATGGTTTTTTTTTGTTTTTTGCTAGGATAAGTCATGAACTTTGTTCAGGCTCAAATTTACTTTTTCGCGGTCTGACTTTTGATGACTTTTTTTATGTTCAGTTCATTTTCTTTGATTACACTTGCGATCAGGTTAGAGTGTTTTTACGAACCTTCTTTATTTATAACCTAACTCGCAAATAAAAGTTTTCATTAAAAGTGTTCACTTATTTGGAAAATTCAGTGTAGCATTGGAAATTGCATAGCATTTTTTCTCTGCTTTACTTATAGGTTGTGTTTGGTTCATATTAAGCGTCCGTGGCTGAGTGGTTAGAGTGTGAGACTCTAAATCTCTAGGTCGCAGGTTCGAATCTTGGACGTAGCCATTTTTTTAAAAACTAATTTGAGGCTTATTTCTTATTGCACTTTTATTGTGCCTCACAGAACTGCTTTTTTGTCGTGTTCTTGCTAGTGTTTTGGAAGCAAAACTTTGACTTTCTTCTTGTGCAAAAGAAAGGCAAACTACACTATCGAATAGCAAAAGTGTAAAGCTCACAAAAAACGTGATCGTGTTCTAGTTTAGAAAGTGGTTTTTATTTTTCCGAAGTTAGTTCCCAGCGAAATAAAAATTTTACCAGTCGATCCAAGATTTTCACATTGGGTTAATTTTATCAAAAAAGTGCTATCAAAAATTGTTCTAGAAATTCATAGAGCTTTAAAGGCATCTATTTTTTTGAAATTCGAAAGTTGATATTTCAAAAAACAATCAGTATTTTTTTGTTTAATTGCGTTGATTGACTCTTTTCCAACTGTCTGTTGGCTATGTTTTCCTTTTCTTGCCATTTTTCTACAAAAACTGTTATCCAGTTAACCTTATTCACTATGACTTTCGAATATGCCTAAATTCTAATTTTTCGCTTAGATCTTTTATTACACCACGCAGAAACAGAAACGAAACTAATTTGAACAGAAAACTTGACTATGGTCAGAATATTCTGTGCTACAACGGCGATCGTTGTTGTGTTTTGCTATCTTTTTTCCATAAAATTGTGAAAAGTATAATTTTTAGTCACCTTAGTATTTTTTATAGGAGGCGGAGCAAAATCGACTCAAAATTCTCAAAGAAGTCGATGGACTGGCTCAAACAAACAACAATAACAACAACACTTTGAATCTCTCGCATAATCAATCAAGTCCAGCGAGAGATGCGAACTTGCGACCAATATATTCTAACCAACACAGCGACGGGGCAGCATCTTATCTATCAGCGCAGCTGCAACAGCATCAACCATTGCTAATGCAACATCAAAATAGTGCGGCTGACAGCCAAGTTCCATTTTACAACCTGAATCATTCTGGCAATTCAGTTTCTGGAGGGATAGTGTCTAAGCCTAGAAGTCGAACCCCTATTTCAAGCCTCGGAGGAAATTTAGCAGCGTCAGCGACGCCAACCAGGACAGTTTCCTTCGGGAATGCAAGCCAGCACGACTCGTACGAGTCAAAGCCGAAAAGTGATGAGAATGCTGTGACTCCTCTATCTTGCTGGCAAAGATTTGATGTGTTGAGGATTGACAATTACTCAAGGATCATTTTCCCATCCACTTTTCTCATATTGAATTTGCTCTACTGGGGAGCATATACTAATATTATGACTGACTTTACCGATAAGAAAGAATGAATTAGTTTGGACGAAAGTTTTGGATGTTTTAAAAACCCAACGTGCAATATGCAATTCAAGTGCAATAATGAAATTGCTTGTTTCTTCATCTTATTGCCTACCGAAATTGGAAAATACAACTGTATTACTGGAGAAATTGCTTGTATTTGCTATTAATCTTATTCGTATCATTAAAATTCACTATATATTGTGATCAAACGGAAAATTGGCAGATATTTATGTAAATAATTTAATTAGGTTAGGTAGATTTGTATTTCAATGTGTTTTTACCATTTGAACGCCAGGTTTCAATTAGTTGAACGACGGGACAATCTAGAATTTTAAAGTGCAAGTTTGAATTATTTGTTGAACCTTCTTTTGGATTTCTGGCCCCACAATATCTCACGGCACTAAAAGATTTTCTTTTTGTTTTCGAGGGCTTCATGAGAAAATGACATTATGGGTACTTAATCGGAAGTTAAACCAAAAACTGGCTTTTTTCGGCGCTCGTTTTACCTATTTTTAATAGATATCGACACTCGTTCGTGCTTCAAGCCGGTATTCTTGTTCTTTGCAAATATTTTGAAGAATTGCAAGGATCTTGGGCGTAACAATAAATCTTGGGTGTGTAATAATTTTTGATTCTTGTTTTTAAACCTAATCAAAGATATCGACCCCTGAGCTCTATCGACAAAGTTTGTACCATCTCAAATTTGATTTTTCCAGGGTTGTCGATTGATTTTTAGGTTTATTTCATTTCCTATGTTAAAAGAAAGACAAACTCCACTATCGAACAGCAAACGTGTAAAGGTCACGAAAAATGTAATCGGCATCTGGTTTCGAAAGTGGATTTTAATTTGCTGATTTCCCAGCGGACTAAAAAATTTATCAAATGATCCAGTTATCTCTAATCGGGTTATTTTTATCTAAATCATAATTTTTCTTGTTTCTTTCTTGAAGTTCAATGAGCGGAGCGTTAAGGCCATATGTATATATTTTTTTTGAGTTACCAAGTTTGACTTCAGTTTTGCGGAACGAAAATCTACCAATCACTCCAGGATTGAATTTTAAAGGAAAAATTTAGACCATGAACATTTCTTCTATTTCAAAGAGATTTCTGATATTTTTTTTCGTGAAATTCGAATTTGAAAAATATTTTGAAAAAGATCATTTTTTTTAGTTTCCTCGTTTTTCTTGCTTTATCTAAGTGGATAGGATAATTTTAAATGAAAAAATGAGATCATAAACAATTCTTCTATTTCAAAGAGATTTCTGATATTTTTTTCTGTGAAATACGAAATTGAAAAATATTTTGAAAAAGATCATTTTTTTAGTTTCCTCGTTTTTTTTTGCTTTTTTCTAAGTGTATTTTGGCAATATTTTAGTACTTGCTTTATTTTGAAGATGAGTTTATAAAAGACATGATTCTTAAATGTTCTTTTTGCCGTTTTGGGATACTTTTAGCCTTTTTCTTGCTTAAATTCGCGAGGTGGAGCTTCTATTGTGTGATTTTACGCGCTGCTTGCTATTTTTTCGAATGTTAGCTTCGACTTCGTTTCTTAATTAATGCTCATGAATACGAATAGAGAGAGGCTAAGGTATAAAAAATGTTGAGAGTACAAGAGATCTCGCGTGATATAATAAGGTCTAGATGTAATTGAAAAAAAAACTAAAAACCGTACGTTTTCTTTTGTTTTGATTTAACTTAGCGCTATTGATATTAAATGTTGGATTTTTTATGTAACATTTTCATTCTCTTTTGCACAAGCTGAAAGTTTCTCTGCAAAAACGGACACTATCCAAAATCGGCAAACGAAGATTTTCAATTTGCCACAAAGTTGAGTCCATGGCCTTATTCGAACGCCTAAGCTTTAGCATCCAAAGCATTGACGTAGCCTTTGCTCTTACCGGTCAAAATGATTAACTAGATCTTTATTTACTAATAACATAAGCTGAGGAGTCCAGCAGAATTTTCTTGGGAATCGAATTTATTGTGCTTAATTTTTTAGCTTTCTTTCCAAAGTATGAAATTTCACGAATGCTCAGGTAATTTTTAGCATTATAGATGGCTTTATCTAACATGTGTAAAGATGCAGATAATTATGTTTCAAGAGTTTGCCTCGCATAATCTTCCTTTTTATGGTGTTTTGAATAGTTTCACAAAATTCAGTATTGAGATTAGATGTGTTTGAAATGACCTGATCAAATCGAATGCCATTTTTATAACAAGTGGATATTTTGAACGAAATATCAGCTTCTCGCTGATTTGAACTTTGTTTATGACATGTCGCTAGTGTTTTGAAAACATAATTTGTTGAATAGACGATAAAAAGGCTGTCAAAGCAGGTCATCTCCTTGATACGAGTAATATCGTATGATCTATATCGTAACTTAACGTGTTTGATTATGAAAACACATTAAACAATTATGAGAATTTTCTTAAACAGAAATACGGGGACAAAGTGGAAAGGAACCCAAAGTTTTTATTTATCCCTGCTCAAATGATTTGGGCAGTCTGTTGTTTTCTACAACATCAATTTCTGCCCAATCTGACTCACCTAGAGATAGTTTTCAGCAAATGATAGCTCAAAAATTTTGAAAGGATTTTTTCATATTTAAAAATTGTTTTACAGGTCACAGATCTGACGCTTTGTTTTTCAGACGCTCATCTAACTTTTCCATAGAAGTGAGGAAATGTTTCAATTTTTTTAATACCAGTTGAAACTCCTGGGCTACCTGAAAACATTTAGAAAACACTATTTCCTTTACAACTTACGCGTCTTAGATATACTTTTACGAAATATATACCATGCAATTTTGTGGAAGTACTCAGATGTTTTGCACCAGACCATCTCTTTTCTCCGCTTTCAGTCCGCTCTCCACTTGCCTGTAAATTGGCAGGAATTTAATTTTATTCATTGATTAAGGTTAGTTTGTCCAAAAAGATGCGACAAAAAAAAGAAATAGACGTTGGTCTAGGCGATTATACTTGCCCAACATCTCATTTAACACCGAGTCATTCAACTATATACAATTTTCATTCGCTTTTGTAATACTTTTCACTCGCTTTTTGTAATTTTTACCGCTTTTTATTATCATTTTAATCTGCAAGTTAGTAAGCCCCTAATGCTATTTCATTTTAGCAAATTTCATACCTAATCCTATTTCATTTTAAGCTAAGCTTGTCAATTTCGAACTAAAAGACATGATTATGAGCACGTTTTTTCACAATTTTGTCACAAATTAAGCCAATTGTCATTGCGTGAGGTCACGAAGCTTTTCAAACAAAACTGGTTTGCGCGAAAAGTCAACCACACAAATGTCGCGCAATATCAGTAGCAATTGATGAGTTGATTGGAACGCGTGGCACGAACAGTCATGAATTGAGCGAAACAGTGACAACCATAGTTGGCGTTGCCAGTTGCCCTCGTGATGGGATGCTAGTTAGGGCTGTCAAATCCGAAAAATATTACGTTTTTCCAACAGTTCTAAAAAGCTCGAGGCGATCAGGTTTAGGGTTGAGATTGATATCAATATTTAACAGTGATAAGATATTGTATAAATTTATATCTGATCTCTGGTACCGGTGCAAAATATCTAGCATCTTGCGCCATTTTTATTAAAATTCTTTAATTATTTAGGGGGCTTTGAAGTTAATTGAGCTTTCTCATTTTTGTTAAATATCACATTAACAGTGGGAAATATTGACAAGGTCATTTCTGGGTTACATGACAAAAGATCCAAAACAAGAAGATCCCAGCCGATAAGATACCAGTCCAAAAGAAACTTCGTTCAAAATTGCCCATATCATAAGATACCATAATAAAATAACAAAGAAAAAAAACAGAGACAGAGAATTAAGGCAGTAAATCAATACAAGCAAAAACAGAGAGTCGATTGAAATAAAACCGACAAAACTTTCGTTGAATAATTTCGAACATGAGTGACTCAATTAATCATTTGGCCTTCAAACTGAAACATCAAAACAGATTTGACAACAAAGGAACTTGAAAAGGTTTTCTTATAATCAAAACCAACTTCAACGAATTGGCCAGTTTTTTTTCAGACAAATCAAGTCGGTCCAACAAATGAAAACAACTTTTCGCATATTTCATAAGCTTGAAATCATCTCACTGCGACTCAACTGCCGTTCGTTTTCATAGAAATATCGTTTCATATTTTTGATCAAATTTTTCGCTAGGCGCAATGCTCAAAACGGCCGAGATGCCCCTACTCCCAACCTAGCGTCCTGTAAAGAAGGAAAATGCACTGGGATCAATTTACTACAAACAGTATTTTCGAATGCGAGCATAGTTTTGCATTTTGGCGTTCTCCGGGAGTGTGCATCGAGACGTCTATAAAAAGTTGATCAAAAAATTCTAATTTTAAGACAAAGTAAGGCAGAAATTAAAACTTAATTTAATAGGTTAAGTGAGCAAGTGAACGGATATAAGATAATATGTGTGAAATAGTTACTTGTTGACTTTTTTCATTCATATCACGTTTTTTCCGAGATAAGTTGATAGTACAACTGGATTCTTTCAAGATATTGATTTTTTGATTGTAAGAATCCAATTGAATTTTCTCATGAAACGTATACAATAAAGGGTGGTTGCCTTGAAACAAAGCGGTTACACCTAGAGGTCAGCCTTCAACTGCATTTGTTCTTCGGGCTAGATCACACCCAGTTGTTCGGGCTAGATTGCTGTTCGGGCTAGATCACACCCAGTTCGGGCTAGATCACACCCAGTTCGGGCTATTATCAAGCCCTGATTTATAGAACCATTATAAATCAGGGCTTGATAATAGTTCTATAAAGAAATCCGAAAAAGTGTTTTTGCTGCCAATCATATTCCTTAAGGTACGTTTTTGAAAATAAGCTGTGGGCTCGTCTTGTTTTTTGAGATAGTTTTGTGAAATATCCTGCATTTTTTCCCAACTATAAGGAAGTTCGAACACGGTTTCAATTTTTGACTCCAGTACTAAATTAAGGGCAGGAATCATGTTCAACGCTAAGACTAGCTAGCTGTTTGATGCGTAAGTCTTCTTTAGGCCCAATTCGAAAATTTTTAATCCCGAGGTTCTCAATATCGCCTAATTCGAGGTTCTCAATATCGCCTAATTCGAGGTTCTCAATATCGCCTAAAATTAACAGGCGTTCCAAATCTTATTTTCGCTGTCGAAAAGACAGATTTGCCTATAACGACCCGAAATTTCGACATGACTGTCATCTGTGGGAATGACTGTCATGACTGTCATCTTGCTTGCTTCGGCTTAGAGTTCGCGTTATCGCCGACCGGGATGGCAAGGACAGTTGCATTGCCTTGTCGCCCTGCACTAATTGCAAACTAGCTGCGATGATTGTGCTGTTTACCGGGCTTAATTGAGTTCTTGCTGTCTCCTTCTTTTGCTGAACTAATTGCCGAGCTGAGCGTCCTGCTTGTATCGCGCTTGTTTTGAAACTAATGGCTGTCATGAATAATTATTGTTTGTCCTTTTTGTGAGGTTCATGTGAAACAACTCATTTTTGACCATTCATTGAATTAAAAAGTGAGATAATGATTGCGAAGTGTATGATATTTTAATTGAGTGATTTTAATTCCATGCGAAATAAACACCAAATTAAACATATGCTGGCAGTATGGTTATGCAAAAAGTGAGTTCAATTTGATTTTGGTTACCTTAGATATGCGTTGTTTGTTAATAGTGTGAACCTAATTGAGACATCATGACTCAGTAATTATTTCTGAGTACACTTTGATAATGTCTTTTGTTCATAATTCATGGGATCTTTTTAAGTGGCAAGGAGTTTTGTGGTATGGGCGATTTTAGTACAGGGGAATTTTCGGTACGGTATCTTGTGTCATGGAAGCTTTTGGTGTGGTATATCTTGTCCTGACACCCATTTCTGTTTAGAAACTTACACTTTTGATTAGCGAATTGTTGTTTGGTTTGAAATATTTGATTTTTTTTTCGTTTAAATTCAAGCGAGTAAAGTGGCCCAATATAGAAAAATAATCCATGATTTTTTTCTCCTTTTTTTGCCATCATTCTCCCGAAATGTTTTAGCGCCCTTTTTGGAATAAAAACTTCAAAATTCAAAATAATTTCTGAAAAAAAAAATTAAAACGGTTTTCGAATTTGGTTTGTGATTTTTTTTGTCATTTTTTCGACAAAACCGTTGCTAGATTTGCCAATTTTACTGTGATTGTCGAATTTGCTTTAATTTCTCTTATTTGAAAAAAAAACCGGAAAAAACTTTTGTAATTTTTTAGAAATATGTTCGGAACATTATGCTATCATTGTTTAAGTTTTGTTTTTGTTCTTTGAGAAAATTTTTCTTTGTAGAACTTGAAGTTTTTTTAACGAAGATTTTCTCTTTTTCCAAGTTTTGATTGAAACATTCTAACCAATAAATTTAAATGAAATAAGATTTTCGGCATCTCCGTTTTATTAGGTATTTAAGGCATCTAACAATTAACGACCCTGGTTATCTTTAAGACACAAATTGATATGTACAAAGTGCCCGATATGACGAATAAAATAGGTGATTTGATTCCCAGGCAGCGGTATGTTTAAACATCATTACCAGGACTCTTCTCAATTTTGATTTGCTCTTCTGTTGTCTACAATTTTCTGTTCCACGTGGATAAGAAGATAACTAGAATTGGTTACAATTTATTTTCATTGTCGTACCTTTGTTTGCCATTCAAGTTTTTCTGGTAAGTTAGCCAAGCTTTCATTTCAATTGTAATAAAGGTTTCCGAATTATCATTTCATCGTTTGCCTTATCATTTTGTACAAGCTGGAATTAAATTTGAAGAATTTAACGAATCTGTATTTTGCATCAATTTAGTTCTGTCTGTTGAGTTGAGATTTCATAGAGACTTAGGTACTTGGATTAATGGAGAGACGTATGACAAATATTTAATAAAATTTGATTAAGATTGAAATATAATTTCAGTTAAACAGAAATGAACTTAGCAACTCAAAACTACTTAGTGATTGGAGTTGTAGTGGCTGCTTTCGCAGTCATTCTCCCAATCTTCTTCAAACCTTACTTCAGCTCATCGCCAAACTCTCAAAAGCAAACTCCCCAAGCTTCCCGGGGAAAACGAGCAGGCGGAGATCGCAGTGGTCCTCGTGGTCACCCAGGAATGGAGGGTTTGCGAGACTTCCCAGGAATGCATGGGGGTAGACCTCACATGGGAGCTCCCCACCCGGGTATGATGGCAGATATGGCAGCGGCTGATAAACAGGGAGGAAGTGGGGGTGGCGGAGGAGGCAGGGGTGGAATCATGACAATAGCTCTGCCCATATACTCAGTTGGTATTGTACTCTACGTGCTCTATGTGTTCTACAAGTTTTACACCAAGGGATTTAACAACAACACGGTGAACCAACGAGGCGGAGCGGCTGTGATCGGGAAAGGCAAGATCGTCCAGAGCAATCAGCCCTCGATGGAGCAGATACAGAATTACAAACAATTCCTATTGGCTAAGGAGGAGTGCGCGAAGCGAATCGCAGAGGAGAAGCAGCAACAGACGACAGGTATGATGCTACATTATTAGTTTTTCAAAAATCAATGGAAAGAAATAGTTTTTGAAAAATGGACTAAGAATATAGAGAAGTTGGTTTTAAATAGGTATGAAAAACGCGTTATAGACGAAATTTTTGGACTCCGAATGTTTTCTTTAGTTTTAGGATTCAAATAAGTGAAAATTCATTTTTGCCGAGACGACGAAATTCTCGAGCCTACGAGACTATTGAATCAAGGCCAGAGGTAATTATATAAATAAAATTTTGAATCAATTTGGGTTTTTTTATTGGATGGCTGCTTTACTCTCCGGGACTAAGAAGATAAGAAAGGGGTGAAATTTTCCTCTCTTTACAGGGAGCGGAGATGGGAATTCGACTAAACTGTCTGGGAACCAGCTCGTACAACTGGAACTGAGACTAAAGGAGGCAGAAGAGGCTATGGAACGAGCTATGGAAAAGATGGGATTGGACATCAAGCAATTGAAACAGGACACCGGCTACAAGGCTTGTACATTTCATTTGGTCTCGATTCCTCCCTCGCATGTGAAAACTTACTGGTAAAACTTTTGTTAGCGGAATAGGAAAAAATTACCTACTTGGCCCAGTTTGCTCTAATAGTCTTTCCAAAATTCGACAGTTGAGTTTTTTTTTTAAATCCCTGTTCGTGAAATTTTGCATCTGGAATATAGTCCAATCTTGTTTCGTATAGTTTTCGATAAATTTTTTGACATGTTTTGGTAGAACTGCTAGCTATGGTTGAAAGAATGAAGAAGCTTTTTTACGACCTCGCAGTGAAGAGCAGGTTTGATTTTCGTGTTTTTGCAAAAATCAGGTACTATTATGTAATGTACAAAAACCGGTTCCCAAGCTTATCACCCCGTGTTTTGTAAACCCCTTTTTCTTAACCCCCTCTCATATAACCCCACTACAATTTAAACCCTTTTTAAAACCAATTGTTATAATCAAAGTGAAACGTCGGTAAACATCAAAGCTTTAATTGCGAAAGTTTTTGCGAACCAAAATGAGTTAACATGCACGCTGCTAAATGCGTTTTAGATTTGAACAGAAATGACCTTGCTGATAGTCTAGACTTTGTATGAACTTGAAAACGAATCCGACCGACATGATTGATATTGGTGCATATACAAACAGTCCCATACAAAAGAGTCCGAAACATCAAAAAAAGGTTCTAAGAAATAGTCCCATACAAAACAGTCCAAATCCATTTGAATTTCTTGACCTTGATCTTTTGGCGCCGACAGAATTGATATACGCTTTGAAAACTCAAACACGGGCGTAATTAAAGATCAAAGATCCAAATTTGGAACAATAATTCAGATGACAATCAAAGGTATAGTGGGTAAAGCGTTAGTCTCAAAATCTAGAGATCAAAGAATCGAATCCCTGGCGGCACAAGAAATTTTCCAATTTTCCGAAAAAAGTTGAAATTCGGGTAAATATGATAACAAGTATATATAGCGTACAACAAATGGCTTAACCTTAGAGAGTTGGGCGGAGGGAAAAGAAAAATCAAAACCTTGTGTGTATTAATTATTTTGTCGGTTCCAAATCGACTCCAGCTCAATTTTGAAAAATCAAGGAAAATAAATAAACTTGAAAAAAATTTTATTGCTTGGCAATGTAGATTAAATGTGAAAATTGAAAATATTTACAAAAAGCAAATATTTAACTCAAGTTCGCCATAGCACGAAAGAAATGCAAATCCGTTTTTTCTTCGTAAACATGCATAATATTCTGCACTTTTTCGTTGAGCACCCGGTATTTTTTCTTTTCTGTAAATTGGTGCCCACTCGAGGCATTATAGAAATTAAGTTTTTAGACGGAAGCGTCTTTTTGCAAATTTGCGATCACTTTCCATATACTGGGATGCGATCCACTGAAGTATGACTGTATGCCATAATGCCAGCCCTCTACAGCATTTGTTGTTCTGGCCAAACCTGATGATGCCGCTTTCCTTTGATTCCACAATGTAGTGGGGAATAGGGCTTCCCGATTCGGGACGAGACTTTTAATGTAGTTAGATCCTAAATAAAGGCAAAGCTCGTCAACTTTCGCTATTTTTTCCTACTCTTTTAAGGTGCGATCGCAAACTATTTGAATTTCCTCCACTATTTTATCGTATGAATTTCCTATTTCTTCTTCTTTTTCAAAAGCCAGTGCTGGTAACATTTTGAGAGCTAAAGCGAACTCGTGGTTTGTTTCGCAATCCTTTTTCAATCCGAGCTTCGCGATTTTTCTCATAAAACTTTGTGAAAGATAGAAAAAACATCCCCACAGCTTGGACACGGGAAATTTTTTCTGAAACGCTTGAATAGCGGCCTGCTCAAAATCCAGTAAAATTTTTTCAGGTCTACTATCAGGGGCTAGTAATTTTAGGGCTTCTAAGTAACGGTGGTAAATTCTTTCTGTTCTATTTGGCAGGAACGCATATATGCAAGCGGGGGCTATTCCTGAAAGACTAACGTGTATGGAGTAAAGTTGATAAAACATTTTCCTACTTGGAATTGGAAAGAATTACCTACTTGGCCCAGTTTGCTCTAATAGGCTTTCCAAAATTCGACAGTTGAGTTTTTTAAAATCTATGTTCGTGAAATTTGGCATCTGGAGTATAGTCCAATCTTGTTTCGTATAGTTTTCGATAAATTTTTTGACATGTTTTGGTAGAACTGCTAGCTTTGATTTTCGTGTTTTTGCAGAAATCAGGTACTACTAAGTAATGTACAAAAAACGGTTCCCAAGCTTATCACCCCGTGTTTTGTAAACCCCTTTTTCTTAACCCCCTCTCATATAACCCCGAAATTAGATAACCCCACTACAATTTAACCCCTTTTTAAAATCAATTGTTAGAATCAAAGTGAAACGTCGGTAAACATCAAAGCTTTAATTGCGAAAATTTTTGCGAACCAAAATGAGTTAACATGCACGCTGTCAAATGCGTTTTAGATTTGAACAGAAATGACCTTGCCGATAGTCTAGACTTTGTATGAACTTGAAAACGAATCCGACCGACATGATTGATATTGGTGCATATACAAACTTCCCACACAAAAGAGTCCGAAACATCAAAAAAAAAGGTTCTAAGAAACAGTCCCATACAAAACAGTCCACAAATCCATTTGAATTTCTTGACCTTGATCTTTTGGCGCCGACAGAATTGATATACGATTTGAAAACTCAAACATGGGCGTAATTAAAGATCAAAGAGCCAAATTTGGAACAATATTTCGGATGACAATCAAAGGTATAGTGGGTAAAGCGTTAGTCTTAAAATCTAGAGATCAAAGGTTCGAATCCCTGGCGGCACAAAAAATTTTCCAATTTTCCGAAAAAAGTTGAAATTCGGGTAAATATGATAACAAGTATATATAAGGTACAACAAATGGCTTAACCTTAGCGAGTTGGGCGGAGGGAAAAGAAAAATCAAAACCTTGTGTGTATTCATTATTTTGTCGGTTCCAAATCGACTCCAGCTCAATTTTGAAAAATCAAGAAAAATAATTAAACTTGAAAAATTTTTTATTGCTTGGCAATGTAGATTAAATGTGAAAATTGAAAATATTTACAAAAAAGCAAATATTTAACTCAAGTTCGCCATAGCACGAAAGAAATGCAAATCCGTTTTTTCTTCGTAAACATGCATAATATTCTGCACTTTTTCGTTGAGCACCGGTATTTTTTCTTTTCTGTAAATTGGTGCCCACTCGAGGCATTATAGAAATTAAGTTTTTGGACGGAAGCGTCTTTTTGCAAATTTGCGATCACTTTCCATATGGGATGCGATCCAGTGAAGTATGACTGTATGCCATAATGTCAGCCCTCTACAGCATTTGTTGTTCTGGCCAAACCTGATGATGCCGCTTTCCTTTGATTCCATAATGTAGTGGGGAATAGGGCTTCCCGATTCGGGACGAGACTTTTTATGTAGTTAGATCCAAAATAAAGGCAAAGCTCGTCAACTTTCGCTATTTTTTCCTACTCTTTTAAGGTGCGATCGCAAACTATTTGAATTTCCTCCACTATTTTATCGTATGAATTTCCTATTTCTTCTTCTTTTTCAAAAGCCAGTGCTGGTAACATTTTGAGAGCCAAAGCGAACTCGTGGTTTGTTTCGCAATCCTTTTTCAATCCGAGCTTCGCGATTTTTCTCATAAAACTTTGTGAAAGATAGAAAAAACATCCCGACAGCTTGGACACGGGAAATTTTTTCTGAAACGCTTGAATAGCGGCCTGCTCAAAATCCAGTAAAATTTTCTCAGGTCTACTATCAGGGGCTAGTAATTTTAGGGCTTCTAAGAAACGGTGGTAAATTTTTTCTGTTCTATTTGGCAGGAACGCATATATGCAAGCGGGGGCTATTCCTGAAAGACTAACGTGTATGGATTAAAGTTGATAAAACATTTTCGGGGTGACTTTGAAAAATCCATCAGCCAACCAAAAGTTGGATGTTTCAAGCACACGTACCATTTCAGGATCGCCGAATAAAATAATCCTCTCGTGGTCCTTTTGCCCACTGTCAAATCTTATAAAATTTTTGAAAAGTTCGGGTATTTCGAAACTTCTGGTTGCTGGGGAGACTGGTAAGACTTCTTCTAGTTGCTTTCGCGCTCGTTGTGCGGTGCGAACTAAATTTTATTTTGGTTAAAAGGGCTAGTTGAGTGGCAATGTCGTCTGTAATGGACTGGATGGTGGTTGCGACAGACGGTTGGGGTTTTATTATCGCTTAGATTCTTGCGTTTTTTCAAAACTAGTCGAGCATCAGGTTTGCCCGTGGAAATATCGTGATTATGTTGACCCCTCGTTTCAAAAAAGTTTTCTCCATCCGTAATTGCTGTTGCGTGGCATTTATGGATTTGGTACTTCGAGCAGTTCCAGTTTGTTGTTATCTTGTTTTTGCGTCTAAGGTAATACTCGTGGCCTGATACCACTAGCATTTGTTTGTCTCTCGAAGGTAAAGTAAAATAGAATGACGCTTCAAACATTATATCTGATCTGATTGAGTGGTATAACAATGGTTAAAGAAATAGGCAGTATGATTTTTTATAAAACTCACAAACGTCTTTAATTGCCTTCAATTTGCACCTAGTAGGTTATCTCTGTTTTAAACGCGTTAGTGAGGGATTATTTCTCTAACTAATCTAAATGCAATTATCTGAGATGCTGGAGGCATCAAGTGAATTAAGTTTAATCTTTCAGGCCTCAATTAGTAAACTTAATTGGACTACCCCTGTGCGTATAAAAAGGACTTAGTTTGAAACAAATTATCGACATTGAAAGGGGGTTAAAGTGTTGTGGGGTTATCATGTTACGGGGTTATAATATAGCGGGTGTAAACACAGGGGGGTTAAATATCGTAGGGTTAAAGAGTGGGACACCACAAAAAACAGAAGCAAAGATAGTTTATATACTCATTCCCCTACCTCTCCCCCCAAAAAACTCGAAAAAATTACAGAAGAAATTGAAGTGAATTAGGTGATTGGAAAACGAATGAAACAGCAAATATAAAATTTTTTCAAAAACTTTAATTTAAATATCAATACGTTTATGAAAAACAAGCGTAGCGTAGTACCTTATTATGATGTCCACTACTTTTCCATAGTTTTGGCGAAACCTTCTCTGTTAAACATTCCGGCGTAAATTTGCTAATAAGGGTTCAACCGAAAGAAAAGAACAGAGGGATCTTCCTTGCCCCTTTTTTCTACCTTTGCGATAAGCAAGGTATTGCCATCGGGTTTTAGACTTTTCCCGTAAATAACTAGGTAGAGAATGTTCAAAAGTAAAGGAATGGTAAATTTCAGACATGCTCAGTTTGTTTTCAAATATTTTTCTTGAAAAATTTGATTTTTTTTCGGGATCGTGCTTTTTGGCCGAGTTTTTTTCCGGTTGGTTTCCCGTTTTTGACAATGAAACTTATTTTATTTGGTACTGTTTTTTTGGATTTTTTGTTAAGCATGGATTTTATTTTAAACTTGTCATTTTTCCCTGTCTGATTTTTAATAATTTTACTTTTTAATGACATGTGGAACTAAAATTGCGTCGTTTCGAGATCAAAAGTTCCTTTTCGGCAAATTGAGTTATTAACACACTTGCAACAGCTAGTGTAACAAAAGACTTTTTCAAGTAAACAAATTTGTTCAAGTAAACAAATTTTTTCTTACACGTTCTTGTTTTTCAAATTGCTTTTTGATTGAAACTTTGCAACATTCAGGTTCCTTCCCAATTGGCCTAGAGTTAACGCTGTTGCATTGTACCCTAAGGTCTGGGTTTCGACTCTCGGCCGGACCTTGTTTTGTTCTCAGTATATATGCAATTTAAAAAAAAATCGGTATAAGTTGAATTGTTGAACTTCAGTTATTGTGCTGAAATTTTGACGGTTTAGTTGCCACATCACAAATCTTGTTTGTACTGTAACCAACTTTCAATGCAAGTGCAAGTGTTGTTCTTTGTAAATTCTGGTAGGTGGACTTGAAACTTTTTAAATTTTTTTTCTAAATCAATTTGTTTTTCGGCTCAACAGGTGTCTGCTCAAAGATTATCGGCTTAGTTGCCACATCACTGATTTTTCTGTGCTGTAGGCAACTTCTCTGGTGGTTGAAAGTGCAAGTGTTGTTCTTTCTGGTCTCAAGTGTGGGACTTAAACTGAAAACGAAATGAAATCAAATTTTTTTCTTCTCAACTTCTGTCTGCTCAAAGATTGACGGCTTTATTTCATCTTCGTAAGTTTTGTTCAGTTGCTAATTCAGTTTAGTCATGATAGCCTATAACTAATTTCTCTCGAGACATACGAAAATTTAATTTTTTGTAGAACTGGTTTTTTTCAACGTTTTCCATTTTTCGACTGAAGCTTTTTTATGCTTGTATGTTATCGCAAGTGGTGCGAAGCTCCGCTTCGCCTCTATATCTAAGCTTTTTTTCTGTAGAAAAAGCTAGCCTAGCTTTAGGAAAAGTTCCCTTTTTCTCCGTGTTACGAGAATTTGTTTTCTCACGGTTCATTCTGCCAGATCTGAGATTAACGTTGCAAACGGACGAACAAATTATTTTCCGTACATAAAACGGTACTCCTAATTTTGGTAGAGAAATCAGTATAAAGCAAGCAAAATTCCATCTTCCGGCCGTTTTAGCTAAATTTTTTGCACCCTGGTGAAAATAACTCTGCCAAATCTGAGGAGAAGGGTTCATGAACACAACAATTTGAAGACAACTGAAGTCAAGTTACTGAAAATGGATGAAATGACTTTCAGAAAGGAAAACTTGAAAAACGGAAACACTGTTTTAGAAACGCAACTAAACAATAGAAAATTGATCTTGGATTTGTTACCGTAATCCACACGTTTTAGTTTACAGGTTCAAACGAAAGAAAAGTTATGGATTTTTGATGAGTCAAATTGTAGATTTTTCACCGTTTTTAGGAAACTTTTACTTTTTTCTTAAAAATGACGTAAATGTCTCAATCTCTCGTGGTTTTATAGTCCGGTGCATATAATTTTTTTTCTTTTCTCTGAAAGGTGAAAAATGAAATCAAGTTTTACGGCTTAGCTTGAGTGATATGCCCACTATTATAAGCCTGCTCGCTCGCTCTTTTTCTTCGCTCGAAATAACGGGCTGTAATATAATGGGTTTAATATGATATATCACCCGATGCATTCCGATGAATATTTGTGGCACCTGATTTTGCTTGAAAAATGTTTAAAAATAAATAACCACATCCGAAGACAAAGGTACCTCCGCTTTCAGTGGTCGGATAAAAAGATAAATATCAGTACTGTGCTTATAGTAGCTCTAACGAAAGGGTAGGCATGTTGCAGATGATGTGCCCTTTAAGAAAGTATTGTTGAATTCTAAGAAATCAATTTGGAGGAATTATGTTGTCTTCTGTTTGTGTTACAGGATCCTCTGGCAGATAGTCTTGAGGAATTGAAGCGCACCATGGCCAATATGTCCGCCGGAGCACACGAGACTATTCCCGTTCCTGCACCACAGCCTCAAGAAAGGTTAGAGGACATTAAGTTCACGTCCAATACTTCGACAGCAAGCCAGGAGCATCCACTTTTGATCAATCTTTTAGTGTCTCGAGGCTCGCTGTTGTCCTGGTTGAGTGCGAGGAAGGTTTTGACAGTCTTGATTACACTCGCGAGCTTGCGAAGCGTAGTGTATTAGGACGAGTTTTTCTTTTCTCTAACCTAACTCGCAAATAAAAGTGTTCATTTGAAGTTTTCACTTATTTAGTGGCACTTTTGCTATAATCACAATCTGTAGCATTGGAAATTTCATAGCATCTGTTCTCTTCTTTATTTGTGGCTAGTTTTTGTGAGCTATTAAACTTCCGTGGCTGAGTGCGTAAGACTCATAATCTCTAGATCGCTGATGAATCCGAGACGTCGCCGAATTTTCATTCTAAGCTTTTAATTCTGAACAATCTTTGACGAATGATTCAGTTATGACGTGAAAATAACCTATTTTCAAACGATTGTTGTAAACGACAGATGATGAATATCCAGGATATGATTACGCTTGCGATTAGCTAGCGTTATCAAATCGGAATATAGACTTTTTTTTGGGTTAACTACTTGTTTAACAGAATCACTTGGTATCTTGGTTTATAATGAAGTCAAGTTTCTAAACGTCTCCGGCACAATTAGTCTGGAGGTAACGAATACGTCTGCGACAGGAAAGGTATCGGGTTATTATTTGTCTGTTTGTTCTGTCGGCGTAATTGCCACATTTTTGAATTTTTATTACTGCATGCAGTTTTCATTGTAGTTGGTTTTATGCTTTCATTTACTACTGCAATTTTTAATTTGACTTCGTATATATATTTTTCGCTCAAAACATTTTTGGCCTATATGATTACGGCTTATATTTTATCGGCATAATAACCTAATTTTGGGTCGTTCTAGAGAACAATAGTTTTCATGTTCTCTTTCGGATCGCACAAAACGTTGAAAATTTAAGAATACAATTAATAGTTCAAAGTTTTTCATGACAACAACTTTATTTTCGCGCTAAGTTTTTTCCGCTTTCTTTGGACTTAGTGGCTCTCCTTTCTTTTCCTGTCTGCTATCTTACAGTCTGTTTTTGTGGTATCGCTTCGCCTCTGAGTCTTTAATATTAACCCTTACTTTTGTCAGGTTTCTTCTTACTAAGACTAGAGTTAGCACCGCCGTGTTTGCATCCTAAAGTCTGTGGTTCGCGTCTAGGTCGGGCCTTTTTTCGTTTTGCATGCAATTAGAAAAAAAATCGGTTAAAATTGGATTGTCGGTTTTAGTTTGTCTGCATGAAGTTTTGTAATCACGGTTTTTACTTGTGCTGCGAGCAACTTTCTTTGAAAGTTTTGTTCATTTTAGTATCAGAGGAGAACTTGAAAGCTATAATTTTGTTTTCATGAAATCATTGTTTTCGGCTCAATTTGTGTCTATGTAAAGATTATCGGCTTAGTTGCTACATTGCAGATATTCTTGTGCTGTTAGCAACTTTCATTTGTGTTGTTAGCAAGTGTTGTTAATTGTGGATTTAGGTGGGACTCAAACCGTAAAGATTTTTTATCATACTTTTTTTCGTATCAACTTGTCCGCATCTAAGGTTTTCGACATTGTTGACTCGTTTTAAGTTTTGTTCCGTTGATAATTTAATATTCAAGTTTCTGGGTTTTTTTTCATAACTTTTTTACGACATATTTATTCTCTGTGTTTTTGTTTGTATCGCAAGTAGTAGATGTTGGAGCTGAAGTGGGGGGGGGGGGGGGGGTTATGGAGGAGGAAGACCCCCATGTATTAAGATAGGGAATAGAGCATCCGGTCTTCCAGCTATGTATTAAGATTGGGTATAGAGTCTATAATGTATTAAGATAGGGAATACCGATGGTAAGGTTTTATGGTTTGTGTGATGGTAAGATAATGGTAAGAAAAACGTAATTTTTTTGGTTTTTGTGCGAAAATGTCTAATTTTTTTACAAAAATCTGGGCGCGCGTTACCTAATTGGGAACAATTAATTGTTAATTACGTGTAGATTGTAGAAATAAGATTATGTATTTAGTTTTTTTGGTGCATGGTGAGTCAATGGTAAGAGTTTTTGTGCAAAAACTTGGAATTTTTATCAAAAAATTTTTCTTCGAAAAAATTCAAAACACGATAAGATTTTGTTTAATTTGATCTAATAAAAATTTATTAGATACTTTTACTTTCTACCTATCTGAATCTATTCTGAACCTACAGAGACATCGAAAAAAAATCGAATTTTTTGAGAGAAAAAAAGTTTAAATTACAAAGAAAGTATATAAATCACTGCATCGTATAGTAAACTTACTGCCATAATTTACATTTTATTATCATGAAACCATAATAATACGACATCTTATATAATTTAATACATCAGAACAGTTCTTATAAGTCCAATGGTTTTGTATGAATTCCATCATCTTGCACTTGTCTTTTAGGATAAAAATAACTTAGTCCTTTCTTTGTCTGTTCATATGTAGCAACCATATGATTTATAGTTCTGAATCCTCTATTAGTAGATGTTAAGTTGATAACTTCATCGAGTACTCTCCTATACTTTGCTAAAGGTCCATCTCCAGAGTCGTCTAGAACCCGCTTATTCAATCCTTTGCTGCTAAATTTGAATTTGTCTGACTTGTTGTCATAGCAGCAATATGTCTTACTACATAAACAGAGCATTTCTGTGCACCTAAATTCTTCTTTGAAAAGTACCGGCTCCCGCTTATCATGTTTTTTATGGATACTACAACACGTTCGAGGAAAGAAATTAGATTTTGCATCCGCCTTGAAGGAATCTCTGCAATCACTCTCCCTCATTTTTTCCCAAGCAGCTCTCTTATCTGGTTGGATGCAATCGTACAAATTTTCTTCTGCAAGTGCCAAGTAAAGTGAGTCTGTGTCCATCTCCAACTCTTCAAATTTATTCACATCACAGAACTTGTCAAAGAAGTTGTAGTAGAGTTCCAACATTCTCAGCTTTGCATACTGAAGTATGAAAAAACCAACAATGATGGGTTCTCTGTGCTCAATGGTTGACTTCAATAACTCCACCTCATATAAGTTCTTCTCAACTGTGTTAAGTCTCTTAAACAGTGGTTCATTGATTGCCTTATGAGTTTTTTCATCGTTGAGATATTTTGTGATTGTATGTCTCGATCTATCCATGATCTGATATCCATAGGAGGAATTGGCCAAGAGCTTCATTGTTTCTGCTACAACTCATGATAGAGGGTTTTCATCTTCTTCTCTTCTAGCATCAACCACTGACTGAACGAAATTATTAAAGCATTTCCGAGGAGAATATTCAACAAAACGATAAATTTTGATGCATTGCAAGCCAAGTTCCAATTACAAGTTGAAGAGAGGAGTTATAACTGTTCCATTTTCTAGCTTGAAGCTAGATATAAGCCTTCTCTGTGGATGTTTCAACATTTCATTTTCAATAGCATAATTTTTCATATAGTCACCAATATCGTTTCTCCCAACCTCAGTGTTTTTGAAAATTGGAGGAAAATTCGCAAATTTCGATTTCAGTTCATCTGGAACAACTAAGTCACACTGAACGTAACCAAAAAGATATCCATCTTTTATCTTTGCTAGAAGAGAGTCTGTAGAAAGGGGTCTTTTGTAGGGAAAGTGGGTTCGAACATGATTTTTGATCTTGTCATTGGTTTTGAATTTTTGCCACCACTCACACTCCCACATTTCTTCAACTTTGTATCCTTTCTCTTGAATGTATTCTCATCTTATCCATCTCTCTCTTCTTATTTCCTCGCTCGATATCCTGTTCTGTTAAGGAGGGACGAGTTTCTTGACAAGAACAAAAGTGATAGTAGCATCCCATTGCCTCGAATACTGTTTTACAGTGATCACAATAACCGTCCACATTAAAACAGTCAATTTTCTTCTGTTTTCCAGATGTAAAAAAGCTCTCAATTTTACATTCTGGTCTTGATTCTTGATAGAAAGACATGACCATATTCTCAAAGTTGCGAGTTCGATTATGTCTAGCCTTGAATTTCTGCATATCAGTGTCAAACTCCCATCTCGTATACAGTCCTGTTGGCATATCTTGACACATTGAGAAAGAGTAAAGCTGGCTTGCATCAATTCCAACGACTGATTTACAAATATTTGATAAATTTCTGATGTATGTTTCATCAACTACAGCTTTTCGAGTGAACACAATCGAAGGCCCACCGGTCATGTCTTCTCGTATTTTTTCACACAAATCTTTATCACTTTCGCAAAATGGATAAAACTTGTAATTTGTAGATTTGTGTAGATATATGTTTGCTAGATTTGGAACTGTACATGAAAGTTTCAACATATCTATCCCTTTGTTATGATAAAACTGAATCATTTTTTGCATTGCTTCCAGGGTTGGAACTACATCTTTGTTGTTGTACCACTGCAAAAAGTCTTTGAACACAGTCATTCCGTTTTTCTGCCAAGTTTGTTGTAAGTAACTGTAATTATCTAGACCAGATGGGGGTACAGTCTTGATTTGAAGCTTTTTCAGTGCTTGCTGTTCAACAAGTCCAATCTTCCTCAGTTTTTCATAATCAGTAAAGTCTTTGTCTAGAGGATTGTTGTTTCTAAGTTTACTGAAAAATGCTTCATATGGGGGCAGTCCTGGAAAATCAAGTTTGTCAGGGTTGTCAAACCACTCATAAGGAAAGAATCCTTTTGTTTCACTAGCTTTATAAGCTTTGAGAAATGAGTCCAGAGTTGTTGCTCCACCCAGAAATTTCATAATGTCAAGAAATTGTACATCTCCAAACTTGAAAGATATAAAATCCTTTGCTTTTTTGATAACGGATGTTTCTTGCTCTTTATCGCGAATCAAATAAGGGATTAAGTAGAACTTGATCAAATTTAAGTCATATCTGCCACTGTTAAATCCAAAAACAGGTAAAGTATTTACATAACGCTCCGGGTGTTGTTTCAAATCAATGAGTTGATTTTTCTGAATTCGCAAGAATTGTGTTGACAT